TCTTTTACCTTTTTCACCTTGATGAAGTTACCCTTACACCTCAAATATGACAAAGCAGTCTAACAGGGCCGCAGAATACTCAACAGAGTCTGTGTTGTCCTTTTTTATCCCCCTTTTCCCTTTGATTTCCAACACGGTCGTTGTAAAACCTTGTTCTCCTCTGGCACGACCCGGCCCTGAGACAGTCATGTTTAACTGAGTAACAGGTTGCATTGAAATGCATACTCCAGGTGTTAAGTACAAATTTGGGTCCTGATATGATTTTGTACAGAAACAGATTCATGTGTCAGGGAATGGAGCAAGGAAAGTAAACAAAAGCCCTTTACAGCTTGTTTTGGCATGCTTTTTGCAACAACAAGGACAACCAGTGGACTCCAAGATTGATCCAGGTGATCTCTCTTTCATTCAGTTCACAACCTCTGGAATTGAACTGAAGACGAGAGAGAGGACAGGGGGGAAAATTACTTAAAGTGGAAAAAAAGGGAGGAAGAGAATGACTGGAGGAAGAGTGTGGAAGGGAGTGTGTATTTGCGGTGTGTAGGGAAGGGGGTGTCTGTAAGTGTAGGGGGGGCACTGTGGGGTATGAGGCATACCCCCCGCAGTCCCAAGTAATGGCAGAATAGAACTTAATAGGGTAGAAAAAGGCTGGGGGCTGTTAACTCAGAACGGTCATTTTGAATTCCCCATTCTCTCCCTCAGTCGCTCCCTTCCTCATCCCTTCTTCCATGCACCTTCTATGTCTTTAACGTGGTTTCCCATCCCTGTCTGCCTGTGTAATTTGCCGATTCTCCCTCCGTCTCCCTGCACCCTTAACCCGTCTCCAACTGGTCTCCTTTCAGCTGTTGCCCCTTACTTTCATCTCTCTCTCCATCTTCTCCTCCTCTTCACCCCTTTTCCTCTCTTCCTAGCCCCCACCCATCCGTCCTTCCCTCTTCTTTCCCTTGCCTCATCTCTCCCTTCCCTTCTCACCTCCCTCCTCCTCCTCCCCCCTTCTGTGTCTCCTTGGAGGAGGTGTAATGATAGCTATTTGAGTGTCATCAGAGGACCACTGTAATGGCTTCTAAAGCACCATTCCACGGTTGCCACGGTGAACCTTGCACAGCCTCCGTCCCAGAAGGGGTGGAGAAAAAAACGAAAAGAAAAAAACGAAAAGAAAAAGAAAAAAAAACATCTGGTTGGCTATCGACAGGCGTCACCGTGCCAGCGGCAGCAGGAGTGCCGGCACAACAGCAGACGATGACATGGCCCCGGGGGGCCACGGAGAGCGAGCTAATGGGGCGTAGGATAGGACACATATGAGGAGGAAGTACAGTAATAGTGATAATAGTGATGGTAATGAAAATAATAGACTGATAACAATAACAGTATTTTACTTTGTTTTTTTAGTTTGTTAAATTTGTGTACATCTGGTCCTCCTGCCTCCCTTTTTCTCCAACTCTCTGTGGTGTGTTTTCTATGTGTGTGTGTGTGTGTGTGTACAGTAAGTATGCATGTTTGTGTGTGTATTTGTACATTAAATAAGAAAGGGAGACAGAATGTGTTGGTTTCCCAGATGAGGAGTTCAGGCATTAGCAAACGCGAGGATCTGATTATTTTGTTTATTTTAAAGACAATTAGTGTTGCTGCACACATGCATGATCACCAGTAGGAGATCAGACATCTTGTCCAAGAAGCAGAGTGAACGTTTGTAGTGATGCCATCCATCCACATATGAACAGACAGGTGAACCAGAGTGTTTTTCAAATGTTCTGATCGACTACATAAAGCAGCCTACCCTATTGTAGAAACTAATTGTACCCTGCTAATGCCATTGAATGGCCCTTTTAAATCTTAGTTTGAATGGCACGCGTCAAGTCAATTGAATAGTACATGTTCAGAGAAAACCTAAAACTCTGAAAATGGTTCTGCAGGCTTCATGCCGACGCCCTCCGAATGTTGAGCAACAGAGCCTTGTGAGCTATGAGGGGAGTCAGATGTATGTACGAGAAACGTTACACGTACCAGTCATTCAGCAGTCAGTAATATCCTCATCTTATAGTGATGACTCAGAGCTACTTGTCAGCATTGCAATTTTAGTTTTTTAGTTGCTGTATAAGACACAGTTGGAAAAACACCTATAATAATTACCAATACAACATTTTTTAAGACTTTAGTTTTTGAACGGAGTCTCATTAAATATCCTCATTTAGATAATAATAGTTGATATAAACACTGATGTGAAGAGTCAGCATTTTAATGAACACTTTTCTTTATCATATGGCCATTATTAAAAAGATATGACACACATACACGTGACAGCGTCAGCTTTAATCAACTGTAGGCCTTCAAAATTCTCCCAAAAAATGAAGTTTGTAATGAAAAAGTTATAATTATTTAAAATAAATTAGTAAAACCCAAATTACCCGGTGCCTATACTGCATTACAGTAGCTAGTAAAATCAATAAAGAGTAACAAAAACCACCACAGCCACAGGTTTGGCTTCATGTCTGATCCCAGTGTTGGTTTTAGGACATTTTGAAGGATTTGTAAGGTTCCTATTTAGATATTGTGTGGGTAAAAGGGATCATCTTCATGATATTGAAACATTCGAATGGATAATTTTGAAAAAAAAAATATTTTGCAAAGCCAGCGGTCTGCTCCTGTCCTCTTATCGTATCTAGTATTTAGTTTTGGACGTAGTAGTTGCTACTGTGGGGATAAAACTAGCAGAAAAAAAGCAAAGTTTAGGGAAGCTGATCTCAAGCCAACATCTCAGAAATGTGCGATGATCGTCTGCTTAGTGTTCACACACTCAATTACAGCACTCATGTCCTTCAGTATCTGTGTTTGTGTGTGTGTGTGTATGACACACATTGTGTATCACATTTTGCATAAGCGCAGCAGTTCAAGTCTGGGTCAGGAGGAGTAAATCTGTGGGTGGGTGGTGTTTACTATGAACCCTTGGACCCTACTCTAACCTTTGTGTGTGTGTGTGGTGATGACACGCATGTTGCTGTGGGTCATTGAGTCTATGTGTATGTTTATAGCCTTTGACAAGCAGGAGGAGGGGAGTGTGTGTGTGTGTGTGTGTGTGTGTGTGTGTGTGTGTGTGTGTGTG